ACACAGAGACACACACATACACACAAACACACATGCAGGGTTTGAAAGCGGCCTTTTTCGTTTTTTTTTTTTTTTTTTTTGATTGATTGATAGATTGGTTGGTGGGGGATGGATCGCCCCTCCCCCCAAATCAAACACAGACACACACACACTGTTTGTCCGATTTTCAATTCAACGCGGGTTACGCGTTGAAAAATTCAACGTGCGTTGAATTCGTGTTAAACTCCCGTTCACTCTCGTTGGACGCAAATTAATGGGGTCCGCGATGATTTGTTTCCTGGCCTAAACGTAATCGAAAAAAAAAATAAAAAATATGGGGTTGTAGATCTTTTCGAGTTCTACAACCCCATATATTTATATGTATTTTTTGAGCTTTTAATATATATTTTTAAAATCAAAACCATAAGCATAATGAAGAAACAAAAACAAGAAATGATACGAGTCTTTTTTTTTTGGGTTTCACAAAGATTTTTCAAGGGCTAAAATAAAAACAGAAAAAAATAAAATAAAATATAGGGTTGTAGATCTTTTAAAGATGTATAACAAAATATTTTTTTTTGTTTTTTTTTATAACTTCGTGTCTTTTAAAAAAAATCAAAACCATAAACAACATATTTTTTGGCCTGTATTGCTTAGGTAATCTTGCTGGGTAGACTCCCTGGTGGGTAGACTTCCTGATTTGGCCTGCTTCGTTCACTGTTGTTGCAACCACCACCATCATATCATTTGTGATCTGATGGCTGGGAAACACTCTGCCGTGATTTCCAGTGGGAGGTCTCTGTTTCTTTTTTCTTTTTTTTTGCCTTTCTCCTATTTTCTTAACCTAGAAACTCGTAATGAACCTGTCAGGCCGCTGCCACTCAGTGTCACACTGGATCGGCCACACTCCAATCCGTCTGCTAATGGGACTATGCCCTTGATGCTTGTCAATGCTGTCTGGTCGAAGTTGCCCTCAACACTGGTAGGGTGATGGTCCTGACTCCTGAGTGCTGGTCACACTGAGGTAGGACAGTAGGGACAGGGGGTGTGCTGGGCCTTGTCCTCTACAACACCTGAGGTAGGATAGTAAGGATAGTAGGGACAGGGGGTGTGCTGGTCACATGGAGGTAGGATAGTAGGGGCAGGGGTTGTGCTGGGCCTTGTCCTGAGTGCTGGTCACACTGAGGTAGGATAGTAGGGATAGTAGGGACAGAGGGTGTGCTGGGCCTTGTCCTGAGTGCTCGTCACACTAGGGTAGGATAGTGGGGATAGTAGGGACAGGGGCTGTTGCTACCAGCAATCGCCGCGGGGCTGGTCCTTGGTCTCTACAACACCCTGGGCTTTCAAAAAAAAAAAAAAAAAGAGTGGATCTTCTGCTAGAATGTGGAATAATACACCGCCATATGTTTTGTCTTCTGTGCATGTGGTGAGTAGAGGTCCTTAGGGCCACTGCACGTATTCCTAAGAAAAGAAAAATGAGAAAACAAAAGAAAAAAAAAAAAAGAAAAAGAAAAACAGAAAACAAAAGAAAAACGAGAAACAAAAGAAAGACAAGAAAACAGACAACTAGTGACCCATAACTATGATCAATGTGATGCACAGACCTGAATTAGAATCTAGACTATATATTTTAGGCCCACGCAGACAGATTACAAGTCCAATGCACATCTCTGCTCCACGAGGGGTCCTTGCTAATATGCAGGGGCCCTTCGGAAATGAGACTGGACGAACAGATTGCAGCATTTGGTAAAAAAAAGAAAAAAAGGACATGCACCAACATGCACACACATGTGCTCAGAGTGTTGGGGTACGGGGTGGCCCCATCTTTTTTCCCTCTTGCAGTTTGATTTTCGAAAGGGAGGGGCATGTTTGGCCACCCCGCCCTGTTAATAGGGGTCATTTTTTAAATTTATTTTCCCTGTTTTCTGTGTTTGGGTGGTTAGGGCCACGTGTCCGAGCCCCGACGCGCGAATTCTGTTTTTCGGAATTCGATGCGACGCTCCCGTTTTCGCGTTAAACGCGATTCAACGGGGGCCCCAAGGCCCGTTAAACGGGGGTTCGGGCGTTGAATTCTGCCCGTTCTCCGTTAAAAGATACACAACACACACACACACACACACACACACACACACACACACACACACACACACACACACACACACACACACACACACACACACACACACACCANCACACACACACACACACACACACACACACACACACACACACACACACACACACACCATACTTGCGGCGCATTGATGCGGCGCACTGTGCAACGCGCTATGCGCCACCCCACCATGCGCGCATCGGTGCGCAGTGTGCAGTGCGCGATGCGGTGCGCGGTGCACAGTGCGCCAATGCGCCGGGTCGTGCGCGTGCCGCGCGCATCTATGCGCAAGGTGCGCTCGGGAGGGCGTGTTTCCCCCCCCCCCCCCCCCCCCCCCCCCCCCCCCCCCCCCCCGCCCCCCCCCCCCCCCCCCCCCCCCCCCCCCCCTCCTAGTTATGCAGTGACGGTTCCCATCAGGCTCCCGCGTGCAAGGCCAACCACGTGGTTGACAGGCTGGCTTCCCCCGTCCCCGTGTATCGCAAGGACCCGCTTGCACGCAGCCACAATTCAGAGAGGTAAGGAAAAGGAGCAGAAAACCAAACCTCACACTGCTCACAGGGAAGAATGACACATTCCATAGTTGATGCAATTGCCGCAAAGCATAAAATTTGAAACTTGAAACTTGAAAGTTGAAACAAGTTCAAATAACACATCCCACCGACCAACATTTTTTCTTTCTTGTTTCTCTTTTTTTTTATTTTTTATTCTTTTCTCTTTTCGTTTTCTCTAGCAGGATGTGGAACTCACCTGTAAGTCGTGTTGCGTGTGCAATGGCGGCAACAATGTCCACAGTTTGCACACACAGCCATCACGAGAGGAAAAAACAGGAGACACGACAATCAGATCACAACAAATCACATCACGGCCTTTTGACACACACATTTTGCAGCAAGAAACTGAACTCACGAAAGTTCAAAAACGAATTATAAAGAACACACAAACTGAAATACTTCCAAAACAGTGGGAAAGACTAAAAATTTCCAAAATCTTCATCAGAATTTAGATTGTTAAAAGTTTGGCCTTTCATAAACAGGCAACGATATGAACACTACTGTGACTGCTCGTCCACTGGACACTCGATTGTATCTACGTGATGTGCGGATTGTGCGGTCTACTGTGCCTCCTCTCCTGACTCGTGCTCTCTGCCAGACTCCTCCTGCGACTGCTCGTCCTCGAAAGCCTCCTCCGATGATGACGAGGATGATGACGATTGGGCTCTTTCTTCAGAGGAAGATGACGATGAAGACGATTGCAGATTGTCATCGTCGTCCTCCATGACCCAACGCGCACGCTTCCTCTTTGGCCTTGCATCTGCTGCACCGGATCCTTTTGCTGCCTTGGTTGCAGCCTCTTCATCTTCTGCGACCTTCTTTGCAACCTTCGCTGCTGCATTCACAACCTTCTTTGCAGGTGAAAGAGGAGGCCGCCCCTCCTTCCTTTTCGGCGACGCGACTTCATTGCCTCCTTCCTTACTCTTCCCCTTGCGCATTGGCCCTGCTTCATCGGGCTCGGGTGTTGCTGCCTTTCGTTTCCGTTGCCGATGCCCTGACACCTCCTCTCTCCCGTACACCCAATCGCCTGCTTGTCATGCACTCATGGCACGGTCACGACCCTCCAGCGTGTAAACGAATGCAGGTTCGGGCTCCTGGAGGCCCGACTTCCGCCCCAGCTCACGGACTCGGTGCTTCCTCGACTTCGTGTTCGCATGCCAGGCGCGTTGCACTGAGCAGAGCAGGGCGATGTCATCCTCCTTGTCTGCAAGGTCGTCCTCCGCGTCGTTCTTTTGCCACGTGCGCACCAAAGGGCCATCTTCATCATCTTCATCTGCGACCTTCGCCACGGCTGCATCAGTGGCTCTTCCATCAATGACCTGCCTTGTCCAGTCTTTGTACCACTCCTCCACCTCCGTCTTCGCAAGGTCATTGTCCTTCCAAGGAATGTTGTTGTCCTCCGTCTCTCCGCGGTCCCGCCTCGTGGTCAATTGGATGTTCCAATTGCTGTAAACGAGCTTCACCAGTCTCTCGGGCAGGAGTTTGGTGCGCCATTGTCCGTATATTAGCTGGTGCAAGCTCCAGTTGCGCTCGCACGCGGCCGAAGAGCTCACCTGGCCGAGAAGCTTGATGGCTTGCGGTTGGAGAAGCTCCAATGATCCCCAGGACGCCTCCCACCAAAGTGCTGGTGTTTGCAGCTTGGCCTGCTCCTTTTCGTTTTGTGTCTCGAAAGTGCCCAATCTGCCATTATCCGCTGATCCAATAATCGACTTGCCTGGTGATTTGATTCAGTAGCTCCGGCGGCGCCTAAGAATAGAGTCAGATATTGAATCCCTCGCGGATCTCCGTATCTCGCATGGTCAGCGACTGATACTCTGGATCGAGAAAGGCTGCAGCGTTATGCAACTCGGATGTCAAGAACGCCCACCGGTCCATGAGAATGTTCTCCACCGCTAACTTCTCATCCTCCGTCAAACAGTCGAGGATCCGCATATGTGCGACGATATCGTCCATGCCGAAGTACACCTTGCGGACAGTCGCTCCGGGACCGTCCACCAAACGCAGCAACTTGACCACGGGCTCCATGACAGCGATTGCTCTGTCGACCTCGTCCCAAAAGCCACTGTCCACGATGGTGCGCGTGACAGCGTTGAATGCCTCCACCTCCTCAACCCTCACCAACTTCTCAAGCCATGCCACGTTCCCGACGCACAGCTCAAGTGAAGTCCTCCCTCTCTTTAGCGACTCCAGCATTTCGAAGTTCGTTGCGAACCTCGTGACGGCTGGACGTTTGAGTTGGGCGTTTGTGATTCTGTTGAACATCGCGCGGACCTTGTTAATGTTGGTCACTAACTTGCCCACTCGGTTTCCCTTGTCGACGACTTCCTTCATCCAGTCCATTTGCTTGTACATATCTTCCAACGCCAAATCCAACGCATGGGCCGTGCAACCGACACTGAAAATCCCGGGGTACTTCGCCTCCACCATCTTCCTGACCTTCGAACAGACCCTCACATTGTCCATCACGACGCCGACGATGGACTACGAACCAATCTCCTCGATGATTCCCTCCAACAGCTTGAAGTAGGCCGCTGAATCCTTCTCCTTCCCTTCCAGGCACACGGACTTCCAAAACACAGTGCCAACCGAGGAGGAAACCATTACGTTGAGATGTGGTTTGTTCCTCCTATTCGACCCCCCGTCCATCTGCAGCATGCAGCCCGTCCTCTCCCATTTCCTCACAAGACTCATCATGTCGTCCCCAACAAGTTTGCGCTGCCCGTCCAACCGCTTCGTCCTCATCTCGTCCCTCTTGCACGGCCACCAACTAGGATGACACTTCTTAATTGCATCGATGAGCTGAAGGAAGTAGTAGTTCTCGACCAAGCTGAAGGGTTGGTTCGTGCAGATCAGGAAACGGTCCAGGTGTCTGCTGGTCTTCTCATTCTGGGTGATGATGCTGTCCGCTTCCTCGATCAGGGTTTGCCTCGTCGGCCGTCCGACCAACGGTGCAGCATTCTCGGATGTCACGGGTGTGCTTGACTCACCAACAACCGGAACAGGGGGCCTGCTCGCCGTCGGGGATGGGACGACCAAGTTGCTCCGAGAGGGAGCTCTGCTCAGACCCGCACCCACACTTCCCTTCCCTTCGATAAGGGATTCCGCCTGCATCGTTCCCATTCGAATCTCCTCTATCCTCCTCAACCTCTCATTTGCGTCCAATGAGCGGGTGACACGCTCAATACTACACTTGCCCTTCAAGAAGTGGTCTCTGAGGTTGGTGGCCGACCCAACGAACCGGGTCTCGCAGTAGTTGCAGCCATAGTGCTTATGCCCCTTGCTCTTGTTTTTCCCGGCCGGACCGTTGTCGGTGAAGTGCTTCTTGAGCTGCTCGATCAACACCTTCGTGAGAGACATCTTTCCCTGCGCACATGCAGTCCATAAAAAGCCCCAGCGTCAGCCCCTCAGAGCACCCCCGTTTGAACCTCTCCCCCCCCCTCCCTCACCCCCAAAATGAGAAGCTTCCAGGGAAAACGGAAAAAAAAAACAAATGGCCTTCCCCCTCGGCCCCCCCCCCCTGCCCCCCCCCCCCCCGAAAAAAAAACAGCCGTATTCAACGGCGCCCAATCGAGGCACTCAATATGATATTACGATTTCACGGAAAAAAAAATGAAACAGCCTTCTCCCTCCCCCACATGCCCGCCCAAAAAAAGCAAGCCTGTGAAATTAAACACCCGGCCGTGTTCAACAGTGCCCACCCCCCCAAAAAGCAAGCCCAATCAAGGCTCTCAATCGGACATCGAAATTCCAGGGCGAAAACAACACCCCCAAAAAAAAGCCTTCTTCCTCCCCCAGCCCCCCACCCAAGAAAAAGCAAGCCTTTGATATATATATAAAAAAAAAAAAAAAAACCCAGCTATGTTCAACG